TCACCGACGGGTTGCGCGGGCCGACGTCAGCGGCCTTGGTGTAGATGCCCCGCACAATTGCACGAACAGCGCCACGACCGACGAGCCAAACCCGACCATGAGCATGGGGATTTCCGTGACACTCATGACGGGCGTGAGCGCGGCGTGCAGCAGCATGTGTTGAATGCTCACACCTGCCACGAACAACGTGATATCGAGGACGGCGGAAAACGAGCCACCGCGGAAGCAGTTGAGCAGCGCTTCACCGTACGAACGATGCGCGGGCGCTTTTCTCCATCAAGGTGTGCCTTCGTTGGGCATCAGTGTAAATTGAATGGGAATTATTATAAAGATTGCATGCAGTACTGTATTTGACTATTATGAGCCGTACTTTTGTACATTATTTTAGATTATAATACTCTTCCGGATAGCATAGGTCTGGAGGGTGATATCTTGACGAAAAAGTCCTAACTTTATGATAGGGATTTTCGGGGCTGAACTTATGTTTGGACTTATTGAGACCACTATAAAACCAACGGGTGGGAGTATAAGTCCAAAATTGATCCTTTCGAAACAACGACTGGCAAGGTATTTCTGCCCTACAGTACTATGCCAACATCATTTCACAACTAAAACTGCTCTACGTCACATACGTCGAAGCCTGCCCTGGAGATGGGCGGTACAAGCGTAACTTGCGCGTCAGCAGTTACACATTTGACCAAATTCCTTTTGGATGCCCTTGGCTTCTTCGCTGTTGGGCTGCCTTTGGCAGCCACTTCTAATTGCCCAAGCTCCGTCATTATGAGTGATTGGCCATGAAACACCAGTACTATCCGGGCATATTTTACACTGACCACTTATTATTTTACCGGATTCCTTCAACCAGCACCAACTTTTTCTCACCCAAAAAGTCGTCGAAAAAAATCAGGTGGATTTTACTTCAACCAGACCCTAAGGGTTATCTGTATAAATCAGACCTTTAAGTCTGACGAGCGGAGGTGCTCTTACGTAGCTCACTCCTAGTTTTTCTCTCCAACGAACATATCACCAAGTGCGTATTTCACGGAGGCGGCACTTCTCTATTCAGTTGTTTATTTTGGCGAAACAGCACACATTCATTGTTAACGCGAAACACTTTCGGTATCCATACAGGGACGCTAGCCCATGGGTACGGTACAACGAAGAAACAACGAGGTGATTAGCATGACGTGGCGCTGTCCTGAGTCAACTCGACAACGTACGCAATCGAGAGCTTGGTGAAATCGGCCATGTGGTTGAAATCGATGGTGTCGATCGTGTCGTTTTGGGAGTGCATGTATGGGTTCAAGTCCTTCAACTCGGTTTCAAACGGATACGTCGAAGGGTACCCCGACGCGTTCCACGAGAAATGGTCAGAGCAGCCGTAGCCGCACGCTGAGTGGTTCACGGGGAGGCCCAAGTAGGTTGCGATGAGCGTCTCCACGAAGGTGTTGAGGTTCTTGTTGGTGAAGTCGGAGATAAAATTCACGACGGGTCTCGTGCCTGGGGCGACGTACCCCGTCATGTCCTGCTGCATCTGGGCGAGCACGGCTGTGCTGGCGTTCGCATACTCTGCCACCACTGCCAAGGACCCAAACTTGCCGACTTCTTCGGCGGCGTACCAGTGGAACTCCACGGGCCGAATGGGGGTCCACTCAGGGGTCGCCAGCAAGTACTTGAGCGACTCCAAGATGGTCACGGTTCCCGACCCGTCGTCGTCGGCCCCGGGGGCGTTCTTGCGTTTCACAATGTCCCTTCGGTCTTTCCGGTTGATGGAGTCTTGGTGCGCACTCAAAATGACAATGTCGTCCTTGACAATAGTAGTAGGCTCGACACGGGCAAGCACAGAGTACTGTCCTCACGGGTGGGTGAACTGTCGCACGTTAACTTTGACGTCGGGGTTAGTAACCACCGTGGCAGCCAACTCGGTCACTTGGCCGTAGATCCACCCGCACGACTGCGCGCCTTCGGTCGAGTTGTAAAGGCGGTTTGCAAACTTGTTCACAAACCTCTCCAGGGACTGCTTCTAGTCGGCGGTTTGAATCTTGGCGGCGACCCCACGCACGAGCTTGGGGTATGTGGCCACGATCGGGTACGGGGTTGCTTCTTGGAGGGCACGTCCTTGGAGGGTGCTTTTCTGGGCCTGGCGAGCCGCCCCCAACTCGAGCACGCGGGTCCACTCGCCGTCGGTGTCGTCCAAGAACCCGATGTCACGGAGGGCTAAGTCCGCCACTTGGGCATCGGTCATCCACTCGGAGTGGTCGGCTGAGAGCCGAATGAGGCGCTTGCCGTCATGTTCGCTGGAGGCAAAAGCGACGGCAGCGTCGGCAGCGAAGAGGAGGGCGAACTTCATGGTACGAACGTAATAAAATGAAAATGACAACAGATACCAAGTTGACACGGTTGTTTGAGGAACTACGTACTTGTAGTGGTTTGCGACAGGAACCCGCGTTGGAAATGATAGGGACCCACGTTGGAAAAGCAGAAAAATTCACTCATTAAAAGAGTTCCACTGTTGTTTTGAACCGAAATGCTGTTTCAAATGAGGGAATTATCACATCCTGATACACTTTTTAGCCCGTAGCCCTAGAACCTACCCCTCATTGAGCGCATATGATGCTAACGTAAATCAATTGCATCACTAAGATGCATTTAACTCCAAGTACGACGTGAGGCGGTCTCATATTGTGTGTTATTACGGGGACTGGTGTGCAGTGTTTTCTGAAAATAGTAACAGTGGTACTCATTTACTTTTAATGCGGGAATTCTACCTGACATGCACACATGTACTGTTAACCCTTTTCTGGAATGAGCTGTGTTGGTTTACAGAATTTGACTATTAAATACTTCGAAGTAATACCAGTACGAACAAATGAAATGAAAATGGGTAACGTCTCAGGGAATTACTGGGTGCTTGGGATACTGTATCCTGGATTCATCCACCAGTCATTAACTACTAGTACTTAAAAGGAACATTACTGTCCAACACAATCAAACGGATACCACGCCCTTACTACTAGGGCTTACTGATAGAGATAGAGTCCGAACCAATCAGCAGCCACATTGCATGTCAGAATCGAAGGTCGAAAGTTGAGATGACGACCTCGAAGTACTATTTATTACTAACGTGAGTACATTAAAGCAGTTCCACTGTTGTTTTTCTCAGAAAACATTGCAATATGAGTGTTTATATGGAACTTTGTGTACTCGGACCACCTCACCTCTAACTGTATTAAGTGCATCTTAATGGTTAGCGATAGCGACATAACCACTGAGATGCGATGCAGTTTACCCAGGGGATTTAGCATTGTATGTACTCACCGGGGGTAGGACGGAGTCCCAGGTTACAGGGCTACGAACGAAAAGGAGTATCCGGATGCGGTAACTCCCTCATTGAAACAGTATTTCGGGTCAAAACAACAGTGGGACTGCTTTAATGAGGGAATTATTCGGTACTAAGTGCATATCAGGTTAGTGATAGCTAGCCACTGATAGTGATAGCTAACCTGGTGGACGAATCCAGGATGTGTATCCCAAGCACCCAGGAATTCCCTGCGGTTTTATCGCTTCACTTGTTCTTATTATGGCAAATGCAGTGTATCAACACATAGTTAACTGTACTAGTACTATAAATAAGCGCATGTCAGGTAAATTCCCTCATCATAACAGTAGCACTATTGTTTTTCTCAGAAAACACTGCAATTTGCGTGTTTACATGGGACTTACTACTATTCTCTGGTCTCCTCACCACTTACTACGGGTTAAGTGTATCTCAGTGGTTAGCGATATCTAACCACTTGTGATGCAATTGATTTAGCAGTATACGTGCACATCAGGGGTAGAACGCAGTCCCTGGTAACAGGGTTACGATCTAAAAATTGTATCAGATTACGATAATTCCGTCATTCAAGCAGTGTTTCGGGTCAGAACAACAAGAGAACGTTTTAAACAGGGAATTATTCTGCATTTCAGTTGTTAGGTATCGTAAACCAATACAGTAGTTCCCCAAATAGCCGTGTCAACTTCGTATGCGTTGTCATTTCCGATTTACTCACGTTCGTGCGATGAAGTTTACCCTCCTCTCCGCCGCTGGAACGAGACGGGGTACCCCTCGTCGTATCCGTTTGAAACCGAGTTGAAGGACTTGAACCCGTACTTCCACTCCCAAAACGACACCATCGACACCATCGATTTCAACCACATGGCCGATTTTACCAAGCTCTCGATTGCGTACGTTGTCGAGCTGACTCAGGACAGCGCCACGGCATGCT